TCCCGTCTGGTCCTCGAGATATGCTAGGGATTATCAATTGGTTGAAAATGTTCAAAGGAGGCCCACCAGACTGGTGCCTGCACTTCGGCACCTCAACTACCCTGAGAGATTAGAGAGCCTGAACTTGCTTTGCTTATATTACAAAGGGGCAAGGGGCGACCTAATTGAGGCGTATAAGCATCTCAAGGGGCACTACTCAGTCGAGTATCCTTACTTAAAGCTGGCGGTATCTCGCCCCACAAGGGGTCACAGCTCAAGATTGAAGAAGCTGCAAGTCCCGAAAACTGTGAGGGCAAACTTTTTCGGTGTGAGAGTTGTGAACTCTTGGAACAATCTGCCAGAAAGTGTTGTGACGGCACCGAGTGTGAGTTCTTTCAAGATCAGACTTGACCAACACTGGAGCAGGTTCAGGTCCATTCAGGAGTAGGTGCATGCCCAGTACCTGCCAACAGTGCATAACAGAGAGCCAGTACATGACTAGTACTTGCCAACAGTGTGTGACAGAGACGTGACCGATTGCTCAAGCAGTTAACGAGCCGATAAGTGGTGAAGAGGATAAAAGTAAAAGAAAACATGTCATTATGTAAAGTAATTTTTGTTGACCAAAGACACAGTATGCTCTACTGTCCTCCTATAATGCGATAGTTATATACTGGGAGAACTTGGCATTATAGGAGAACTGACTATACACACATTGCATGATGGAAAAAAAAATCTACTCAAAATAGAATTAAGTGACTTCATCCAAGATTGATTTACTCAAAGTATACTGATTAGCTTGTCTTTCATATTGCTATACAGTACTGTATAATAATTGTTGGCATTCTTACAACTTTTTCTCATTCAGCTGACCAATTTTGAAAACCCATAAGGATACAGGAACAGTAGGGGAAAAGATATACTGTAATGATTACTTTCTATTGGATTTATTACACACACATCATACATAATATAAATTCATTGTAAAAGTCAATATAAACACATTTATCCAATAGAAATACTTAAATACTGGTTGGTTTTCTACTAAAGTACACAGATAACATACAGTACAAGACTACAACAGTAAAAAGCCTCAAATATCAACGGAAATTTTTATATCAATAACAATGTGCAGCATTAACAATTATTTATGATGAATTGTAGATGTTCCTTTTTATACAATGAAAGAGTTTCCATTTTAATTTTAATAATATTTAATTTGACTCAATAATATTAGGTAAACTGTAAAGTTTGATTATATGCTGTGTTAAAGGGTACAGTACAGGTATAGATAAACTGCACATGGCTAGAGATATATGCACTTATATACTTAAGGGAATATCACTTTTGAGCACCTTTAGCTAATTCATAAAGAACAATCGATTATTATCAATGCTCTTTTCTAATAAGAAATTATTTGGCTCTTTCCTAGTCAAATGCATAGCTTTCATAGTCCTTTTGTGGATGCAAATTCATGCCATTTTTTTTCTTCAATGTGGCTATGAATATAAATTTCTGCTTACCAATAACTATGAATCCCATAAGATTAAAACATTATAGAAAGTTCCAGTTGACTTTCTCTAAAGAACAAGACCCTCTCATTAATCTATCCTCCATATACTGTATATAATATGTACAGTAATCTACTTATATCAATACAAAACTTCTATAAAATTAGCTGTGCTAGTTTCTTAAGATTGCAGTTCAGACACTGTGAACCAATTTAAAGCTACTGACTTCTGCTGACACATTCACTCTGGCTCTATATGAAAAGCTAAAATTATGAAAAACTTTTACTTTTACCCAATACAGTAATGTATTGGTAACATGAAACCTGGAGATTTATCATGATTCAGATACAGGTACCTTAAGTACAGTGAAATACTGTACCTAATGCAATGCCATATTGCAGAGGTGTCCATGTTCTCATTTTTGACAGGGTTAAAGTTCACAATAATTCCAAATGTAGACAAATATGTCCAAGCATTAATATGACAATCTAAACTTTGTCCTTGCCATATCTATTGTAACTTGCCATAACTGTGGTGCAATGTTATTGTCTGCTCAAAACAAAGGAACTCTAAATAATAATAGATTGTATACACCATCCTAATAACTTAGTTTAAATTCTCTAAAATTAATTTATTATTCTTTACTAATGAGCAGCTTTGGATCTTGTTTACAGGCATCCATTATATTATTAAACAGTATGATAGTACTGTACTGTACATACAGTGTACTGTACATTGGTACTCCTCTCCATTCTGATGCGGTGAATGCACTATGTACAGTACTCCTTAAATTTCACATTGTCATTGACGCTTCACCACAATGAAGCTTTTCAATTATAAGATAAGTCTCTCTCTTGTGTGGAGCGGCACATAACTAGTTACGTTTCAAGGGGCACTGGGGTAGGTGGCCATCAGTAGAGATGTCAGCTGACCCTTACTAATCCAAAGTCAAGTATGGGAGTGAATGTCAAGGCAATGTTCTGTGGCAGTGACTTTCGGTCATAATCCATAAACCCAAAGAATTATAGTTCATCAGCCTTCATAATTTAAGTAATACATTATATATGTACAATAAACAGTTGGTCACAATATTGTTAACAAAAATGTCACAATACATTATAGGACAGTATATAAATTTTACATAAATTTAGTTTCAAATTATATCTCTGGGGTTCTTAATATAGTACATATGGTAAGATTCATCTACTTTTTCAGTCTTGCTACAATTTGTTTTAATATATATAAACTATGGAATGTCAAACATAAATGAATGCAAATACAGTACTCACAATGAAGCATAAATGTATGTACAAATGTTTGATGTATATGCCCTAAATGACAATATTATTGGCAGTGTACAGTGTTAACTTGGAGATGTGGACAGTTATAATGGCAGTATGTAACTCAGTACATATAGCACATGTACAGTACAACTAATATAAGTTTCTCACTGTAAAGCAGCATTCATGAGGCCAATAAACTCATGCTTTGCCAAGTAAAATACTGTATTGGTCCTTAACCAATTCGGTTTTCTTTGATAATACTGTACTGTGCAGTCAAGATTGACAAATTACATTTGTAAAATGTAACTTTTGTCCTTATATACCATAATTCAATACTGAAGTGGAGATTACAAAGTTTACTGAGGGTTAACTGTAAAAAGTAATTTTTAATTAAGTAATTTTAGGAACATGGAGGTGTAGGGAGCAACTCCTATTTCCCAAAAGTAATTTTGCAGTAAAGTACCAGCACTACAAGCTGCCTGCATGATCTAAGGAATTTTATGTATTTTTATTTTTTCAAAAATTTTCCACAAACTTTTATGCACTAATTCATTTCAGTATGTAAGGTGCTCTATAAGCAATATTGTACCCGTACCATAAGTTCTACAGCAGGAGCTATAAAGAGAGTACATTGGATACTTTGAAATTGTGTATTTTAACCGACATTAAAAGTAAAGAAAGACAATTTTGTAAACAGCAAGATATATGTTCATAATTGTCATATTTTTTGTACTGTGCAATAAGATATTAGTTAATAAATGGCATGGACTCTTTCCCAAGTACTGTACTGTACTGTACAGTACTGTACTCTCCAAGCACAGGTGCTGTAGTAGGTGTTATATAATATTTTCACATATAATAAGCAAAAAAACAAAACATGTATTAACCTGTTGGTAATGTGAGGCTTTACAATACAATATTTGATTTTGACTTTTAAGTAAATTATGATTTCTGAAACACTTTTGACTTCAAATTCGTTAAAAATATATCTGAGCCTCGGTTATGGTTTACACTTAATTCCTGTAGTTTGTGCAAGTAATGCATTCCTCCTGAATAAGTAAATATTGTATGACAATCGTTGAAAATTATGACAAGAAACTGAGGTAATTACAAACAAATTCCAAATATGGCAAACCATAATGCACTTAGTAAGGACTATACCTCATGAATTACTTTGGATTTTTCATTTAGCATTACAAATTAACTCCAACAAAATTCAATGGGCGTATGACATTACTACCTCCTAGGAACCTTATTTCTAAGACAAACAACTCTGCAGGTATTTTAAACATACAGTAATTGTAAAGTGTGGCTCAGTTGGGCATAGGAGTACACTACAGTACCAGCTGTGGTTCTTCTCTGCAATCATGTTCATGTACTGTGGTCTGCCACACTCATGTTCCATGTATTGTACTGTTCTTGGTGGTCTGCCACACTCATGCTCCGTGTACTGTACTGTTCTTGGTGGTCTGCCACACTCATGCTCCATGTACTGTACTGTTCTGTTCTTGGTGGTCTGTCACACTCATGCTCCATGTACTGTACTGTTCTTGGTGGTCTGCCACACTCATGTTCCATGTACTGTACTGTTCTTGGTGGTCTGCCACACTCATGCTCCATGTACTGTACTGTTCTTGGTGGTCTGCCACACTCATGCTCCATGTACAGTACTGTTCTTGGTGGTCTGCCACACTCATGCTCCATGTACAGTACTGTTCTTGATGGTCTGCCACACTCGTGCTCCATGTACTGTACTGTTCTTGGTGGTCTGCCACACTCATGCTCCATGTACTGTACTGTTCTTGGTGGTCTGCCACACTCATGCTCCATGTACTGTGTTCTTGGTCTGTATGCTCCATGTACTTGGTGCTCTCCATGATGTACTGTACTGTTCTTGGTGGTCTGCCACACCATGTTCCATGTACTGTACTGTTCTTGGTGGTCTGCCACACTCATTCCATGTACTGTACTGTTCTTGGTGGTCTGCCACACTTCCATGTACTGTACTGTTCTCTGTGTCCATGTACTGTACTGTTCTTGGTGGTCTCACACTTATGTGTACTGGATGGTCTGCCACACTCATGCCTGTATGGCCACACTCATGTTCCATGTACTGTACTGTTCTTGGTGGCCACACACACTCATGCTCCATGTACTGTACTGTTCTTGGTGGTCTGCCACACTCATGCTCCATGTACTGTACTGTTCTTGGTGGTCTGCCACACTATCGCCATGTACTGTACTGTTCTTGGTGGTCTGCCACACTCATGCTCCATGTACTGTACTGTTCTTGGTGGTCTGCCACACTCATGCTCCATGTACTGTACTGTTCTTGGTGGTCTGCCACACTCATGCTCCATGTACTGTACTGTTCTTGGTGGTCTGCCACACTCATGCTCCATGTACTGTACTGTTCTTGGTGGTCTGCCATGAGAGACTTGTTTCCAGTAGAGTTCTTATGCAACTATTACCCCGGAACACGATCAGTAAATCTACTGTATTACCATCTAGGTCCCCAAGTACTGCTGGGTAGAGAGAGGCAAATGGGATAAAGTAACATGCCCATAGTTTCACTCTGCCCAGGAATCAAACCCAGGTCGACTTGTTTAAGAGGCGAGAATGCTGACCATTACACCACAGATGTCCATACTGTACAGCATATTAATTTTTCATTGCTTAGATTTTCCAAGTATTCGTTCCAAATCTTTCATTCCGAGGTGTGGAAAATATCATTTGCTAAAATGCATAAGAAAATTTTTTGTGTGGTTACACGTTAAAGAAACAAAGAGAGATAAACCACTCTCTATGGTACAGTACTAATATTAGAAGTGTATTCTATAATTATGTTCTGATGGATCCTGCAACTTAGGATAAATGACTGCTGAACTATTTAGGGCTGACTGTGCTCTATGTATGAGGTTTCACTCTGATTATCACAGTAAAACAGCCAAAGATGTGCAACAGTGGAGAGGAGGGAACAGCTAGTCTGCTTATCCCCTCACACTTTCCTCTCTTACGCAATTAATAATGGCTGAAGACTAGTAAATACTGTGGCTAAGCCATGTGGCTAACTCTTGGTGGAAGATACTCGTGAGACATACGTGCCCTGTGCCTTCTGGCAGTTGAAGAGCCACTTGATGACACGTGCATTTTTCTCTACAATAGATGGCTCTCCTGTACCACGCAGAGGTAAAGGTGGACCAGGGCCAGGACCTGATAGTCCCCTCCCATCATCAGAGTCGGAGCTACCTCGACGACCACCTAATGGACCTGATTCTTCAGAAGAAACCTCCTCAAAATAGACTGGCGATGAATGTGGTGAATTGGGTGGAGAGGTAAGTTGGCGATGTGTAGCAGAGTCTAGACCCATAGATTCAAAGAAAGCTTCTAAATCTAGAGGTGCCAAGGAGTTGTGGAGATCTTCTTCCCAACGGCCTCGCTCATGTGTAACATCAGATCTGGACCTGAGAATTGGTCTGCGTCGTCCCTCTTCATTATTATTGACCCCACTGCCAGTGCCTCCATATGCAGACACATCACTGTCTGATGATCTCCGACCATCAGTAGGCATCAATGTTCCGGCAGATGCACCAGACCGGGATATTCGGGGTATGGATGGTTCTCTCAGTCTATGTGGAAGAGGTGGCCTTGCTGGAGGCCTGTCTGTAGAATGTTCAGGAGGAGGTGGGGGATCACGAAACATACGAGGTGGTCGGGGAGGAGGTTCTGGTGCAATACTGATGGAAGGGATTGCACCTGGGCATGACGGCCGCCGGTGTCCACTAGTACCACATTCAGAGTCTGTTTCTCCTGCTGGAGAAGATGAGCGGTTGAGATCCGGTAATGATTTGTGCGTAGTGACTGTAGCAGGTTCAGCACGGTAAGTGCCTGGGGGAGAAGCTTTAATCCCCCCTCGAGGTGCAGGAGGAGGTATTTTTGGCTTGACATCACTAGGTGGTTGCAACAATGATGCTAAATTTTCCTGGGAGTCAGTGTTGAGCAAGCGGCGTAGTTTCATCTGGACATTATCATTGCGGTCTCCTGGTCCATGAGAGAGAGAACGCCGTAAATCACTACCGCAGCGCCCGCCATGGCCTTCTTGTCCCCTAACTTTTGGACGGGGTGTGACACGAGGTGAACGTGCTGGCAGAGGAGGAGGCTGTGCTCCTAAAGATGCAGGGCCACTTAATGGGACTGGACGCGGAGGAGACAAACCTGCAAGGCTTGGGTGGTCACGTAAATTCACAATATTATTGTGATCAGCAAGAGCATGGCGCCGCTCAGGAGCTGGAGAAGGTCTTGATACATGGAGTGTGTGTGATGGAGCACTCAGGAAAATATTTGGATTGGAGGAAATGTGGAGGCGTTCTGGCCGAGCGGGGGTTTGACTACTACCAAGTACATGGTCACTTTTAACATAACGAGACTTACTCTCTTGTAGCAGTTGAACAGCACTCTTACCTCCTCCACCAGCTCCCCACCATCCAGGTCCCACCACCATTCCTCCCCAACCCATCGACATTACGTAACCTGGAAAACAAGCATTCTGTAAATTAATTGATACTTATTCCCTTCCTGTGAATAAAAATATGTTATGAATTACATTTTACAGAGCATAGCCTTTCTCAATTGGATTAAGCACTTTGCTTGATTTTGATGTCCCATGTAGGGATGCCACAGTTTGTAGTGGTTTGGATAAACTGAGTCCACGAGGGGGCTTATTTGTGGCTTTTGCATTGATGTTATGTGGTGCGGTGAAAATATTATGCAAGTCCAGTGTGAGGCTTCGGATTTGAGTGCCTATTGTGGGGTAATGGTTGCTTGTAAAGTGTAACCTGTGGGTGGCTGTGAGCCTTGTTTACCGGTACCTGTATTTCAGGTGTAAGATGTGTTGCATCACCTGAAGATTAACCACCCTAATGCTATGGGGGGTTTAGGGGGTAGATTAATGTTAGGGTGTTTAGGACGAGATGAAATATGCTGAGGTGCTTTATCTTCACACTGATAAATTGTAGTGTTGATACATCTACAGTAAATTACTCAACGTACATGATATTTCTGAATACTGTACTGTACACATTATATAGGTGTAAGATCTTACCAGTAAGTGTTCAGTGGAGGATAGGAGGAGCGAGAGGGACATGACTGAGGTGGTAGAGTCGCTGCCACATGGAGACGACACTTCTACACTGCCTTGGACACCTGCAAATCACCATAAGTCTCAACAACATACTAGTATACGGTATGCAGTATACTGTACTTTATTAATAATATCACCTAAGGAAATAATATTGACAACAAAACATTAGACATAGGCATAACACACTACAGTACAGTATATAGGTATTCTGTATACTGTACATATATTTTATATACTGTATTATACCTACAGTCTATATACAGGTATTATTTATATAACTGTACCATCTTTATATGAAGTACATTACCTATATCACTGCACCGTCTATATACATTAATTAAGTAACACACAATTTATGTACTGTACATAATACAGCTACTGTATACATCCACCTATACTGTCTATGTAAATTATATACCTGCACTTTATATATATATATATATATATATATATATATATATATATATATATATATATATATATATATATATATATATATATATATATATATATATATATATATATATATATATATATATATATATATATATATATATATATATATATATATATATAAGCTAATTCAACGTGAACTTGCATGACAACTTTACTGAATACTATCTATCTATCTATCTGCCTTGGGTTAGGCGGCAGGGAAGGGGTAGAGTGGCAAGGAGGGGTGGAAGTTTGAGACAGCGAACATCGACCTGTTGATCTCTGACCCCCAGGGCCCCACAGCTGGAGGAGTACAAGAGGAAACGATGTAAGGGGGTGCCCAATAAACTAGCCCCCTCCGGGGCAATCTAATCTGAAACGTGAAGAGAGGAGAAGAGGAAGGATAAGGAGAAGGAATAGGAAGAAAGATTTGGTGAAGGAGGAGGAAGAGTAGATAAAAAGGAGAAGATTTAAAGAAAGGAAGCAGAAGTGAAGAAATTACTGAGAGGGGTGTTTAATCGTTGAGTGTGATGGAGGTGAATGACACTCAAGGAGGAGTAACAGAAGAAAAGAAAGCAGATGAGAAGCGAGGAAGAACATGAAAAAATGGAAAAGCAGAAGAGGTGAAAAAAGAGGACAAGGAATAAGGAGATGACAGAAGGAAGAGGAGAGAGGAAAGAGGGAAAGAGAAAATACAGAAGATGGAAAAGTGGAAAGGGGTAAAGAACTGTTACTAAAAAAACCACACACACACAGGTTAACAGAAACCGAATGCTGGAGATTGGGTGTATAAAAATCCTGGAGTATAACTTTAGTAAAATTTTACAAAAACTTTTTTTTGTGTAGAGAAAGAGAGGGAGAAAGAAAATCAGAGTTGGAGGAAGGAAGTTGTAATTCAGAAATTGAAGAAATTTGGGAGGAGGCGGGTTGACCGCTGCTTTGCCGTGGGTTAGCGAAGCTAATAATGTGGTAGGGTTATGTCATGGATAAATTATTGTCTGTTGGTACAGGACAGCCTACCCTATCCCATATATGGGTGTTTTGTGGGCCTTATTTTATTTTCCACCAACCCTACTGGCGGATGCTGGTCTAGGGAGGTTTATTGCCTGGCCGTATAGATCGGGGGTGGTAATGGACTTTTTGAGATTTGGTAACTTTTTGGGTACTATGTATGGTTGTTGTCGTGGTTGTTGTCGTCTGGTGGGAGTCTTTGAACGAGTTCTTGCACTCATTGATCTATATTTTGCCAGATTCTGCTAGCCAGGGTGTGCAGCTGCCGGTTGATGGGTTTTATTCTCAGGTCTCTATGTATCTCAGCTGTGGTACTGGTGAAGGGGTATCTTTCACCTGTGACGAATCTCAGGGCTTCATTTTGGACCACATGTAATTTTAATAATTGAGTGGTGCTCATAGTATGAAGAGGTACTGCTGGGCAGGTTAATATCGTTATGATAAGTGATGCAACCAGGCGGAGTTTTATTTTCTCAGGAAGCGCGTTAAAGCAGTTTAAGTTTTTTCAGCTTTCGCCTTGCCTTTTCCTTTCTGGTGTGGACATGATGGAGTAACCTGTCGTGGATATATGCAGGCCCAGGAGGGTGCCTCTGCTTCTGTATTCTATCTGGGCATTATTGATTACTAATTGATGGGTTTTCCTTCTGCATAAGGGCATTACTGAATTTGGGGAGACTGGTTTGGATTTTCCATTTATTTTCGTAGCCGTTCTATTACCTGCCATTACTATATCGTGGTTACCCCTCCCCTCTGATAGACCTGTGGTAGGCCTACCGGTATATCCCTCCTTCCTTGATACTGATATTGAAACAGTTTATTTAACCATAAAAATACAAAGTCACACACGGTCTTGTTGATGCTTCTTCCTAAATTAAATTTATACCTAATTGTGTTGGGAAAAAAATATCTAATTCACATATATATATAAAGCCGTGATGAATTCACACTGATAATTAATCTACCATAGCTGTATACTGTACTTTCGTCATCCCAAAATAAGGCAGTAATTATGGCGTACGACAAACTATTTTTTTTTTTAATACATTTCTTGAATTAATTGTAAGCCAGACATGCAGTAAACACAAGAGACAAGACAGGGAGTTGGTGTCCTTCAGTACATCAAGGTAAGGGTCACTCTCCCACGCCCCACGGTTTTTCCCACGGTCACACTTTCTTCCCACACTAACTCAGCTCCGTTTCCGTCGCCATAAATTTTTTGATTCCTCCAGACTCCGCCAAAGCGAACTTCCTGGCTATTCAACTTAGATTCAAAACGACACATCGTACACACACCTACTGTTTACCACTGTACACCTTCACTACGTACACTGTATACCTGACCCTCCACCCAGTCCTACCTCCCCATTGTCCGATCTCCTCCCCCGTTCGTCCTCCCTCACCTCTATTTTTTTTTTGTAGAGAAAGAAGGAATGAAGGAAGATTAGAGGTGGGGGAAGGAAGTTATAGTTCGGAAATTGAAGAAATTTAGGAGGAGGTAAGAGATGGCGGGCTGACCGCCTAGCTAAGCTAATAGTGTGTTAGGGTTGTGTCATGGGTTATTTATTGTCTGTCGGTACAGGCACTAGACATCCTATCCTATCCCATATATGTGTGTTTTAAGGGCCTTATTTCATATTCCGCCGACCCAACTGGCGGATGTTGGTCTAGGGAGGTTGCCCCTGCTCCTCCTCCCACGCCCCTCCTCCCCCAGCCCTTCCTCTTTGCGACCCTCCTCCCTGTAACAGTGCTATGTTTTAGAGTAAAGTATGTCATATTTTAGAGAATTTTTTTTATAAAATTCAATTTAGACAATGATTGCCCGTCATAATGGCCGAGACGACAATGTTCCCACTCAAACTAAGAGTGCCCAGGGGGTTGATCAATGAGTGTGAGTGCCTTAGGCCTGAACAAATAAGGAGAGCCTGGGAGACGTGTCGTCATGAGCACGTGGCATTCCATAGGTTGTCTTTGTTTATTAAGACAGTCGAGGTTGGTGTGTGTGTGTGTGTGTTAGTGAACATGGCGGGTGTAATTGTCAATCTTAATAGAAAGTGTTCCAAAAACGTTAAAGAGGGTCATAAATCCCCCTCTTTGTATTGAGTAAAACATTCATCATACATTTCTTCGATGTTATACAGTGAGTCCTGAGTAACAACACAACTATCACATATTTTCCGTGTTTAATTATTGCATTCTATCCTTAATCCCCAGTTATCATCCTTTCCCTCAGTCCCCCCCTCATCCTCCCCTCCTCACCTTCCTTCAGTGAGGGGGGGGGGGAGTTATCCGCTACCACTTCCTCACTCGCCTATACGAAAGGAGTAAGAATAAAAAAAGGGCATTAAAGAATAAAAAAGTAATATAGAATAAAGAAATGGTAAAGACAAATAGAAATAAAATAAATTATATTAAGTTGATCAAGGACACAAAGGTTGACAATGCAAATAGCAACATTAATAATCTCAGACGATGTTATCAGTTCTTCATGAGTCTCCAGCCTGAAAACAGCAGGTTCTCACACACCTAGCCTAACCCAACCTGGTGTAGCCAAAGTGAGGCCGTCAGCTTCACTTTACATCTTCAGTTACGGGACCAGGGTTTAGTCTCAAAAGTTTATATTGATACGTAACGACGCAACTAACTTTCGCGTTTAGATTAAAACCCAAATACAATGCCCAAAATGGTATCAATATTACGCAAACTACCATAAGTACACCTGTTCATTCAACACAAGGAAGGAACACGGTTAAAATATTAGAATCTCTCTTAATTCGGACCCTCTCTCAGGACTTGACCACAGCGGTGTCATCTTACCAACACCAAGAGTTTCCACACGTTCACCTCGGCTCCACCATCCTACTTTCTTGTCACTATCGCACTCAACACCACCAAAAGTCACTATCATCAGGTGCATGATAGTGCACTATTATTGTTTATCACGACACAACAGGTCTTACCATCATCAATCATTATCAAAACATCACTTCCTCACCCTCTTCCCTGTGGAGCCCCCCCCCCCCCCAGGGGAAAGGGGGAGAAACACTGGGTAGATGTGTGAGGTATAATGAGTGGAAAAGCGTGCCAGAAACAGGTAATGATATAGATATTGAAACAGTTTATTCAGCCCGAAGAACACAGATACAGAGTCGATTAAAAATCATAATATTAACATGACTGAGCCAGTTCAGAGCCTGAGTTCTCTTGTAGGCACCTGATATATACTGTACATTTATCTCAAGGAAGTATTATGTAGCATATAGTATCATCTGGAATAGTACACATACAGTAGCATGGTGGTAATAAGAACATATCAGAATGTCACCGCAGTTATCACTCCTTATTTATGTATTTTATTTTTTTACATTTATATTATAAGTATATACATACTTTACAGTGGAGCTGATCAACATAAATATGATAAGGGAGGGAAGCAGTACAACATGGGTTGTATTAAGGTGGAACAAGAGGACAGCTGTCAGGATTATGTCTAGTTGGCAAACGTATTTTTTTCAATGGTAATTTCTATTTGTCTACGTGATGTGTGAGAGGTGCTATAGACTCGTACAGTACAGTGTGGAGGTGGGAGGGTAAGGAGCTGGACAGTGTGGGGCAGCCG